TTTCATTTTAATACGGGAAGGCATAGCACTTTTGACATTACGGTATAGGAAAAAAAACATGAAACACATTTCACACCAGAAAAAACTGTGTGCGTGTATCAGTGGGAACACGCGTTAGAAGTTAACTTCTTTGGTTTGTATGTTTTGAATTGTATAATCAGGTTTTATTTTAAAGTAGTCTTATATATAATAAACATATTTATTATTATAATTATTATTTCATACTGTATTTTAAAAAAATAATTAGAATGGAAAAGCTATAAGTATAAACAAAATTTTCATTTTCAATACATAATACTAAAAAAAATTTATTGTATGTATTTAGAGAAAAGTATCATCATTATTAGTTTATTTCCATTATGCTTATGGGTGCTTCAGTTCATACTTTTGTTATCAAAGGCTTGTGGTAACTAAAGTAAGAAATGTAGGTTTTGCTCTCAATATCGCTTAAGTATCTCGAAAAGACTGCATCAATCGTAGTATTTGATTTTGTCGTTGATATTATTCTGTTGTTTTGTAGAGATAAGATGAAATTCTCTTTTTAAAATTCAATCAATTGCAGAGATTTGTCTAAAGCAAAATGGATATTAAAATCTCCACTTAAAATCATAGGTATTTTGTCATAATTTTTATTAAGTAAAGTAGAACCTCTTGATGATTATTGTAATAATGATCGATGAAGGAACTCGATAATGTCATCCAACTTTTGTTGCACGCCCCCATTGGTCAGCAGTGCTAGACCAGGTCCATGACATCATACACTTTCAGAAAGTCCAACACCAGCAAGGGAACGTCTGCTAAGTCCTGCTTGGTGAGCCCTAGGCCCTCGAGGATGTGAGCAGGCGTGGCCGGCTCCGAAGAACAGTTGGTGCACATTTCAAAGCTCTTGCATCCTTCGGAAAATTTCATTGATTTGATATGGCCACTTCGAAAGCGGGCTAGATGAGTTTGATCCTGTCTTGTAAGACCATGAGCCAGAGAGCATCCAGGACGAGAACATTGATACCAATGGTGCTCTGGGGGTAATCCAAGCGGTCTTATTCCAGTGTTTAGTTCTAGAGAAAATCTCCAAAAAGGTGAGGGGTGTTGACGGCTCTGGTAACTCGCAAGCGCCAGCCTTAGCCAAAATGTCCGCAATCTCATTTCCCTCTAGATCTATGTGAGAGGGAATCCACTACAGATGAATTTGATGCGATGTGGAAAGTCGTTTTAACTTGGTGAATATTGACATTCCAACATTTGCCAATTGGACAAGTGCTGTATTGCACTTCTAATATCAGACAGTATCCAAATCTCTTTTCCATTTGGAAGAGATGCAAGAGAACCAAGGGCCTCATCAATGGCTATTAGCTCACTGCGAAAAACCGAGCAACCGTCTGGATTTCTCCTCTGGATTCTTAAGATATGGTCTTGCGATTTGATGTAAATTCCGCTGCCAGATCGATAATTATCGTCTCTACTGCCATCCGTATAAACCTGAACGGCGTCAATTGGTATATCTCCAATTCTCTCTAGAGCTAATTGCTTTAGATAAGCAGGAAGGTCTGCTTGTTTATTCACGTGTACTGGTAATTCTGAATGGAAGAAGACCCTGTCACACAAGATCATCCACTGGGTCAAGACATTGTGACAGGTAATGAGGTTCCACAGCACCAATGGTAAGTTTAAAAGAGACCATTTGACTGAAGGGACTGTTTCTCCTGAGTTTCTCCATCCATCCAACTTTTTGTTCGGAGTAATATATATTGCTACAATTATAATTTTTTGTCCATTATCTATTTCACATTCAGACAAGCACATACCCCTCACTGAAGATTGTATGGTACCAGTAGCGCACACAGGAATTTTTCAAGGGGGGTGGTCCGAAGTCGAAAGTTCACCATTCTTGTACTATGCTCCTTTTGATTTTGTTGATTTTCGGGAACAAAACTCAGTAAAAAGCTAATTATTGAATAAATAATTAGCATTAATTAATAAAATTAATCATTAATAACAAATACTTAATTAAATTTTACGTACTACATACTTAGAATTATAATCAATCAGAAAAAAATCAAGGGCTTTGGGGGGGGGGCCGGACCCCCAGGGCATCCCTCTGTGGGCGCCACTGTATGGTACCATACATAAAATTGTTTATAATTTGACTTCTAAGTAACGTAAAAACAAAACAAAGTATGCATCGCAAAGCTAAAAGAGGAAAGGCTTGTTAAAGTTGCTGTTGAATGAGGAGAGGGGGGAGGTGCCAGCTCAGGTGTCGTCCTCGTCACTTGACCATAGTTCAAAATGACGAGGTTCGTTGCCAAAAGCCCTTGTGTAGGTGAACAGTGCGACGTTAATATTCACTGACTCCCTCACATAAAGAAGGTTGCCAATTTGGCGCGCAACTGGGTTTCGTCGCCAACTCTTGGCTTTTCGTAAAATTGCTTTGTAATAAAGCTTTGTAATAAAAAGTTAATGGTTTGATATTTAATTTTTAAACAAAAAAAAAATGTTTTTTTGAAAAACATACTCTTAAAATGCATAATTTTTAAAAGCCGTAATTTTTAATCCATTTTTTTCAATCTTTGTTAATGGTTTGATATTTCACACATCGATTGCAAACAACGGTAATTTTTAAACAAAAAATGTAAGAATAATACTTTAAAACGTAAAACATACTCTTAAAATGGCTAATAGACGAAAAACACAAAAGAAATTTTAAAAGCCGTAATTTTTAATCCATTTTTTCAATCTTTGAACAGATTACGGATAATACTATTCTACATATGGAAAAAAGTTTCGTTAGATTATTTTTATAAATAATGAAATAATTCAATATTTAATTAAAATTCTGAGTATTTTTTGAAAAATCGTAAAAAAAAGATTTCGGCATTTTTTTTTTTGACTGATTCTAAAGAGAAAAGCATGAACTTGTTTAGGATAAAATATCAATTTATTAATGCGAAAGGAAACTGAAAGGGTCAATGATTTACATTTTGAAATCATTTTTATAAATCTACTGGAAGACGCGTATCAATTTTTCTCTCTCCGACTCATTTTAAAAAAAAATCGTAAAAAATAGAAAATATCATTATTTTGTTAAAAAAAATACCATATCGTGGCGAAAAAAATTATCTTTCCGATTCTGTAATTATTTTTGTCTGAGATAGATAGTATGAATTAGATGGCGTTTTTTAAAACGTGGGGAAAATTCGGAACTTCATTCATTTCTACCTTACGTTCATCACGTAACCGTAACTGGTAACGGAAATTTTTCTCTACCGTGCCATAAGAAGTTAACTTCCCCAAAATGAATCAATTCTGTTAAAAAAGGGAAGTATGATAAAAAAATACTGCTTTCTAAAGGATAGTGAACCCAGAATATCATATTAATTTTTCATTTCTTTTATATCTGAAAAAATGTTCCGAATTCGGGTCCTAATCTTTAACATTAACCGAAAACAGCATTAAAAGAAAAGGAAATATAATTATTGATAGTATGGGAAGTTTCATTTTTATCTGTATTTATAGGAGAAAAGCGACTCACTCAGTCATTACGATATCTATGAAACTATTACAACCTTCTTCTCGAGTTACCTAAAATGTGTTTGCTATTTCGGAAGACATCTTTATATTTCTTTTATAAGTGTCTAGATGGTTCCTTGAGAGATCTATCCTTCTGAACGCTCTATTCTTTTGTTGTCGTGGGGAACGAATGCATTATAATTTTTAAAAAAATCCTCCCAGTTTTGAATTATTATACCTACAGACTTGAAATTTGGCAAAAATGTTTCTTTTCTTGAAGATCCGTTAAGAACAGGTTTTTTGGAATTGTTGCCCAAAGAGTGTTCAGGAGTGTTACGAGGGCGTTAATTAAAAACACGCCCTTGTTTTTGAGCCGTTTAAAGGCTAGTTATTAAACTTACCAGTTTCTACAAAACTCTGAATTTAAAAATTGGGGTGTTCTTGCTCCAGGGGGTTCTTGCTTGTAGAGAATCACTAAAAAAAACTGGTTTTGTGGAAATCGAATCCATACGGGGCTAAGTCATGGAGGCGTAAAAGGGATAAATATGCTTCTTTTTTAGAAATTCATCACGTCCATTTAAATCAAGTGGCGAGGTATATAATGTTTTTTTTGTGTATTGATTTGTACAATCGGCACAGGCTTAAGTCAAAAAAAAAAATGCTATGACTTGGATATTAATAAACTTTAAAATAAACAATTTAGTCATATAACACCACGAAAGCCTCTGCAAAGTAGGCGGGTAACGAGACTTGTACAATAGTATAATCAAGAAATATTCTTTTCTATTCCATAGATAAAAATTCCTTTGTTAAAATGCTTTAAATTGCGACATTCGGTGAAAAAAATGCTCTACCCCCTCTTTTGCTGCTGTGTAACTGATCTTGCTATGCAGTCTGATGATTTTCTGTTTGATTGACAGAAAGTTAATGCTTAAAAGATTCGCAGAATGGATTTATCGCTTATTATTACGTCAATGGCTGCTGCAACTAGTGAAATTCCGTTGCGAAATCACAATTTCTGCCTCATTTATCAATAATAATAAAATGGAAAGGAGAGAAAGAGATTTCCTGTCTATCTACTTGTATTATCATATCTGAGAGATCAGATTAGAAAACTTCCTTAAGAGTTTGTTTCTAGATTCTCGATCAGAATATATAGATTGTCTATGTGAATTTAAGCTAATTTATTTATGTTGTAATGTACGAAGGAAAAAAAAAGAAGCAAGTAACATTTAAAAAAAAAATTTTGAGTCAATTCCTACTTAGATCAATAAAGAAAATTTTTATTTTAGTTACTTTTCATTAAATAGTTACAATTAATATAAATATGTATATACATAGTACAGAATCACACTATTAAATGGCAAAATAGAAAGCGATTTTCCTTCCTATGTATGGTGTTGACTATATTTTCTTTTGTTTGATTCATCAATTACGCTTAATTATTCTAATAAAATAGTATAGTAAAAAAGAAATCACATTCTCGGAAATTAGGGCATTCCAGGTGGAATTCGAACCCACAGCATTTGTATGAGAAGTCCAACGCGCTACCCATTGCGCACAACGAGCGATTTTCCTTTCTATACATGCTGTTGGACTATTTATTTTTGGTTGTTGCTATTTATTCATTTTTTAATTTAATTAATGGATTAATATTTGAATAAACTGTATTAGCATCAAGTGTCATCCACAACAAGTTTAAAAAAACGTATTTGAACTTGAATGGATGAATGGAAAGTATTTTATGAACGACTGAAAATTTGGTTAAGTGTGTGGGGGGAGGGAGTGAACTAATAGTAAAAATGGAAAAACGAATTTAATTACAATAAACACAAATTCTTAAAGTGATATTTTAATTATGCAGGGTATTTATATTTTCGACATACAATGTTAATGTACCCGATCTTTGAACACTTTTTCAAGTAATAATGGGCTCCAATATCTGCAGTTACGTTCTAATTGGAGTTGAAGTAAACTCCATTTTTAATTAATTGGTTTTAGAATATTATAGCCAGTCTGATGATAAGTTCTGAATTTCCTATCACATATATTCGACGCATACTCCTTCAGCGTGGTGTGGAAGCTTAGAGAGAGAGTGCCAGCTTATATAAGTATCGTTCTTGTCGCTTGAACGTGTTACAGAATTAAGAGCCTTCGTATTGCTCTTACGAATTTTAGTTTTTTTTTGAGTTACGTAAATCAAAATCAAATTGAAGTATACTTTATTGTCATCTTAATTTTGGAATCTATTCCACTATCGTATTACTTTTGAAATATATCTTATTACTAAAGTAGCTCAACACCTTTAAAATACCTGGCCATTTTTCATTAAATATTGTTTATTTAAATGAAAAAATACACTAACTTTATTTTGCACCAGTGGTTCTTAAACTTTCGTTAACAGCTAGGGATGGCAATCTGAGATCAATTAATCGAAAAATCGATTTCTCGGGCCAAAAAAATCGTTTTTTTTAAATCGATATGTAGCACTGAATCGATTCAGTGAATCGATATTTCATTTTAGAAAATCGAAATTCGATTTTTTTTTCTGTTTTGGTAAAAAACATAAAATTATTTACAATTGGTTGAATGTACTATCTTTAAAACCCATAATAATACAGTGCTAGGGGTTAAAGGGTTAATTTACTGGCAAGAATAAAAAACTGCATTTATCATCACATTCACTCAATAGCCATGATGTATATGAGTATCATTGGATCATCTGTTCCTTGTGAGCAGCTTTTTCGATTGTCGGCAATATCGCAAGTGATGGGTGGAACCGCTTGACAGACTGTTGCTTTTAAAAAGCTTATATATTAAGCATTGGGAACTATAAGCTACATCATCTACTTTCTAAACTTTTTAATGTAATAAATACATTTAGAAAATAAATGTCTTTTATACCTGATACTTTGATATGGTAATAAAAATCATTGTAACTGACGTATTCCCTGAACTAAAAAAATTCTCTGATTTTACTGATAAGAGATCGTTTATATTGTGGTATCTTTCTTGTTTTTCATAAAATGGATTTATATTTACATTGTAAATGTAGACTTGGAAAAAAATCGATTTTTTAGAAATCGATCTCTTAGACCTCGATTTCTTTGTGAATCGATTCATGAGGTTACGATTCGAATCGATTTAAAAATCGATTTTTTTCGAAAAGAATCGCCATCCCTATTAGCAGCCGCCAATATACACTGCTGGACAATTGCTAAGGACGGATCACAAATTGCTATGTAGCATAACATTAAGCGAGACATGAGGCCTAGTAGGATAAAATATAGTTGCCACACTGTTCCGACATTAGAATAAAGAATATTTATTGTTCTGGAAAGTACAAAAGCTGTGAAACATCTGAAAGAAAAAAAAATGTTCATTTGATCTGCGTACGGAGAAATGGAACAATGCATCTAAAAGTCAGCAGGCACCTTAAAGAAAGGTATCAGTACGGGATATGTCCACCGTGGAGTGTGATGCAACATTCCACACGTCGTACCATACTTGGCACAACATTATCCAGCAGCTGTTGAGGCAATTTATCCTATTCCTCTGTGAGTGCACGGATGAGGGTGTTCTTGTTTGTCGGAGGATAGTTTCGACCAGCAACTTGCCTCCCCAAAGCATCCCACACATTTTCAATGGGGTTTAGATCTGGAGAACGCGCTGGCCATACGAGACGTTGAATACCCTCGCTGTCTAGACAATCCTGAACAGCGAGTGTTCGATGACATGTTGCGTTGTCGTCCATAAAAACAAATTTATCACCGACAGCACCACGGAAAAGATGAACATGAGGAAGTACAACTTCATCAATCATCGTTGGCCCGTCATAGTCCCATTCGCAACCACATGTAGGCGCGTGCGGCCATTGATCATGATGCCGGCCCACACCATGATACTGCATGTCGGATATCGGTCCTTTTCCTGGATATTTTCTGGACGATAAGCAGTACCACTCTCGCGCCAGATCAGTTGGCGTCTACAATCCGATGACAGACTGAACCTACTCTCATCTGAGAATAGTACGCATGCCCAGTCCTGTTCAGTCCAATTGTGATGCTCACGACACCATTGCAAACGGGCAGTACGGTGCTGTCTGGTCAATGGGATACACACAACAGGTCAGCGTGCGTATAGTCCTCCTCCCCCTCAAACGTCTGGCAACAGTTTTTCGGGAGATCTGCTTTCCTGAGGCAGCAAAAAACTGATTTGCCACCTGCTGAGCTGTGGTGCGCCTGTACCTTTTTGCTGATAGGGACGATATATCTGTCTTCTGCAGGCGTCGTACTTCTAACACGACCTCCCCGTGCCGTCTACTACACATTCCAGTAGTTTTAAATGACTTCCACAGCCGTGAAACAACGCTGTGAGCGATGTCGAACACCCTGGCAACATCTGTTATTTTTCGCCCTTCTTCGATCTTTCCAAAATTCGGCCACGCATAAAATTATCTAAATGTGATGTCGGGAAGACATGCCAAAAACTTTTAAGTTCGTCTATTAAAATCTTTCCTGTAAAAAGACTGCCAAAGATTTTAAGTTCGTTGAAACAACAACTGTCCACACGCGTCAAAACCTTTAAAGCTCTTATGAACGCTATCACGTGATGAACAGACGTGGAAAAAAATTTGCATACTCATACTTCTTCTTACTAATATCCCGCACTTATTCTAATTTTCCACATTTTGCTTCCTTTCATTTTGTGGTTGCTATGGATGATAGTGTTATCCGTCCTTAGCAATTGTCCAGCAGTGTAGTTCAGAAACCCAATAAAAGTTACAATGATTTTTAACAGCATTACCTGCAGTTGTGTCGCCAAATCCAGAACAAGAGACCAAATGGTCTTCACACATGTTATTGCATAAAGGGCAAGATGGAGAATGCGTAGATATTTCGAGATGTGCTCAAGTTCAGTTATAATTATAATACTAGTGTGATATCGAAAGATCTGAGTGAGTGAATATTAACGTGGCACTATTCAGCTACTCGGGGGCTTTTGGCGACATACCTCGTAACTTTAAACCACGGTCAAGTGACGAGGATGACACCTTGCTGGAACCCCTCTCTTAATTACCACACTACACCAACGAGAAGACGTTCGAGCTCTCGACAGATTTCCTACACGACGAGTCTTTGGCGGCACTAGGCTCGAACTCATGACATGCCTGCCAGGAGTCCGTTACCTTGATCACTAGGCTACCGCGTCCACTGAAATGATAGCCGCATGATGGTTTAGGAATAATGTTTAAATGCTTTTGTTGAATTTCCTCACATTTTGCAATATCTGCCTAAAAAATTTGACAATATATATTGCTGAAAGTACAATCACAAAATAATAAATTGAAGGAGTGTGATAGGCAATTCACATAAATTACTTGATGTGGGTTTAGAGCAGTTATTCTAAATAGTACACTTTCATATTTTCCTTTCATGTTGCTTCCGTTGTCTTATGCCTGTCCACTGTAACTCACAATATCTAGATCCAGTTCTCTTAATCTAAATTCAATAAAAATTTGTGCTGTTCCTTCTCCAGTCACAAAAGTATCTTCAACAGACCCTATAAATAACTCATTTATATAGTTAATTTTTTCTCTTCAAAATTTATATACCTAATAATGATTAACGTTTATTTCTGATCAGAAATATAAGGAGTACAATTCATTTGGATACTATAGTACGTGGCTGCTTTTATATCAACTTTAATTTGGGTAAAAACTTCATTTCCTAACTCTGAAATAATTTGTTCTTGTGATATACATGCGCTAAATGTTGCACAGTTCTATTTTTTGAATTTTTTTATTCTGTTAGTATGATCCATAATCTAAGAGGGTAGAATTTCCTTAATAATTCGGCTAAACGAAAATTTTCATTATTAGGCATTCTTATTATTTCATGGGTTCCTCAAAATGGAAAAATATTACATGTTTAAAATAGAATCACATCTACTTAGAATCACAAAAATAAAATTACACCATGCTAAAATTTTGGAGCAATTCCGAACTTGACAAATACTAAATATTGGTGCTTAAAATCACCAGGAATATGTATTATTTTTATTTCTTAACGCGCGGGCTATATGGTATTGAGAATTTTTTCTAAAAATTCCAGTTTATAGGTGGAATCATACTACAAAAAATAAACACCCACATCACCAAGAATTAATTTGAGGATTGTCAAAACTTATAGAGGTCAACAAAAGTAAAATTTACGATAAGACATACTTTTCACTGACAACAGTTGGAATATTGTCTACGTGTACGAGAATACATTATTTTAGTTCTGCATCATATTTGGGCCTACCTCAATCCTGGAGCCCTGGTCAATAGCATTCGCTGCACCCCCAGATGATGCCAGTGCCGGTGACCTTTGTTATCGTGTTTCACTTTGCTCTTCTCTTTCGAAGGATTGCCTATCCCTGGTCTAAGGGGATCGTTGTTCCCTTATGAAGCATTGCATGTAATTTACTCAGAGAAATTGATTTGTCTCATGTTATTTCTGAATTTGTTCACATTAACTCGAGAACAGTTTGTAAAAATTCTGTTTTATTTTATTATCATACAAAAC